GAAATCTCCTATCAAAGTCATCTAAGCCTCTTATACGTCCACCTTATGAAAGATTAAAACGGTGAAACAATATTTAGGATGAAACAACCGAAAACAAAAATGACCAGCATTCTACAAGACTAAAATGAATTAATTTCTGATGTTTCTTAAGCAGCCTCTGTCAGGTGACCAAACTGATCCTAGTGCCAGTGCAACTCACCAAGTCTCAGACCCCTAAAATACACCTAGAGAGCGGCTGAATTTATCAAGCAGTTCCTATAACCCTGGTCTTCCATCCTAAAATGACTCAAATCAAAAGCATGTCACTTTTACACAGTGCAAGGTTCTGGTGTCCAGCTGTGTGCTCTGGGAGGCCAGCGGTCATTTGGAGTGTTTAGCGTGGAAATAGCACTTCCTGTGTAGAACCTCCTGCTTTCAGCTGTGGGTCTGTTTGTGTTGATGCACCACTCATACTCTGACTGAGACTTAAACTCTGTCACAACATCACCATTTCCAACCTGCTCCAAATGTTCCTGAGAGCCAGTGATTCATTCTGCAGTGGACATAAGTTGTTTGTGAATATCTCTGATCCATACATGTCACTGTTTTAAGTCCTGGTGTATCTTAACTACTGTGTACTGTTTTAATCTGGTGTACATTCTGGGCTTTTCTGTGATACAAAACATTACAGGAGAGAGCAAAACTAGTTGGGGCATGAGGAGGTTGTCATAAGGATTCAGTAATTATAAGGTCCAACGGCACAAATGCTCTAGCAGCGGTTTTTTATGAATCCAAACACCTTAAACAAGTGGAGAAAAAAACACTGACACACATTCAGACAAGTGCCAATAATGAAGGTAGATTATAGGCACAACGTTTTTTTCGTAATAGTTCAGGGAGGGGCAAGTTGTCACGTGTGTAATTTTATAATTATGTATCATTTTTGCTGTTTTATGAATTGTTTCAGAATAATTTTACTGTTTACATTGTGGAGCCCACAACACATTTAAAAAAAAAAAAAAAAAACACACACACACACACTGATGAGAAAGCTTTTTCTAAAGAATTTTTTTACTTTAAATTTCAAATCAATAACTGCAGCTTCCCAATGAAACAACTTACCCCATGTGGCAACATGCCAATATGCCCATAAATTATCAATTAAGTTTGAACTACTGCTGTCAAACGATTAGTCATGATTAATCATGATTAATCACATCCAAAAACAGTTTTTATTTACATAATATATGTGTGTACTGTGTATATTTATAATGAATATATAAATACACAAACATACATGTATATATTTGAAAAAATATTTACATATATACATATATATATATATATATAATTTATTACATATACATATAAATATTTTATATATTTTTCTTAAATATATATGCATGTGTGTATATTTATATATACATAATAAATATACACAGTACACACACATATATTATGTAAACAAAAACTGTTTTTGGATGTGATTAATCGTTTGACATTACTAGTTTGAACTGTTGTGTTTTTTTAAACTTGAGCAAAGACAGTGGAAATGTTCAATAGTTATTTTATTCATTCATTCAAGCCTGACTTTCAAAATTAAACATAACCTAAGAAATATTCAGTGGAGTACAAAGTGTGACAAATAGCCCCAGTCTACAATACAATACAATACAATATAATACAATAGAATAAAGATTGATTCAATGCCAAGAAAAACACAAATGTCAAAAGAGCTGTGGTCTCTACCAGCTGCTGTTTAATGCACTTCATCTCAAATGAATCAATTTCAAACTTAACTTCAACAGGAACTGATGTTGGAATGAGAAATTAAACCATTTCCAATGCAAAAGAGCATAACAAACACATGAGCGAGTATTGTATGAAGCGTTTCAATGCGGTTCAGCTGTTATTTTTTACAATTTCTTCCTACAGTAAACAGTGTCAGAATATTTGACACTTAGAACACCTATTCAGCCGGTCGCAGATGAATGTGCAAACTATATAACAACAACAAATACATGCATATACAAAAATAGTAGATATAAGCACGCATACCTTCTCTTGTGCTCGGGTTATCCTCTTCTGTACATTACTGGCCAGTTTCCCGGCGTTGACTCCTTTCCCTACCTCTGCCATGTTTGAGCTTCCACTTGAAGTTTCCAAAGTGAATAAATAAATAAACCGTTATGAATGAAGCAAAGCGCAGAGAGACTGGCAGGAGATACAGAAGAACAGTAATGTATGGGGAAATACTGTCGGATCAACAGGAGGTCTGTGGGTAAACCCTCTTAAAGAGACAGTGCGCGAGTTTAGAGTCCTAAATGTGGACACGGAGAGTTATTATTAGACTAAACCCTTTCCAAACTACGCTACCAAAAAGTTTAAACTTAAAACTGTCAAACAATATACGGTCTAAGGGGTTCCGTTTTTCGCCTCTGGTAACAAGCGACTGGAAAACAAGAGAGAGAGAGAGAGAGAGAGAAGGAGGGACGGAGAGAGAGAGCGCGCTGGATTAAGTTTCCACTACTTATTATAGACACTCTCTTAAAGGCACAGGTAAACACGATCACGATATAATGGCATCTTCTTCTTTTTTTTTCTGGAAAGTTATACAAAGTCTTATTGGATAGTTATACCACGTGTTTTTAAACTCCTAGTCGTTGCAAGAAAGTGCTAGGGGGTCTTTGAAAAAGTACAAATAAATAAATAAAACTAAATAAAACATTAATTAATTAAAATTGATTTAAATAAATAAAAATACATCTAACAGTACAGAAGTAGTCTGTACAAAACCTAATAATGCAACATAATATTTACTAAATATTAAACCAGATATATTTATTAAAGCTAAACATTTACCAATAAGATTGGACACTTTTTTTATATTATTTTTTTACAGAATAAGTTTGGTTTTTATACATGAAAATATACAGTTGCCTTTTAAATTTTAGGATGCAACAGAATGATTATTTTGGGGGGTCCATGGCATCTGAAGCAAAAGATTTCCAAAAGTTGGTCACGCCGGTGACGTGTTGATTGGCATTTACTGTATGCATGTTTATATAGCAGATGCTTTTAACCAGTTAAGTGAGGAATAATAACACAACACAAGAGGTTCATCATGAAAAGTTGATAACATTCGAAATGCTGCAATACACTTCTATAAGATAACAACAATAAAGCTTGCGATATGTCATCCTATTCAACCTAATGTTTTAGTGTCTTGAGAATTTAAAAGATGAGACTAGTTTAAATGGCATGTTTGCATGGTCTCATTAGTAAGAGGAGAGTTTATCCATTCACTGGTGTCATATCACATGCGATTCCTGTTACATTAAACCCATCTGACTTCTCTTGCACTCTGTACTGTCCGTTTTCACCAGCAGTGAACAATTACATATAGACTAGTGGTTCTAAACCAGTTTTTTATTACAACAGAAGTACCAGAGGTAAAAATCAGCTTCGACAGGAGGGCCTTCCAATAATGTCTTGGTCAAATGGGGGATTTGGAATCAAAAAGGCTGAGAACCATTGACACAGACAAAACATCCAACAGATGACAAATTAATGAATTAAAGAAATTGTAATAGCCAGCAAAGTGCAAATATGAGACAAAATAAATTATTTGTGTAAAGTTTAATTTCAAAAATAGATTTTAAATACTTTACCTGAATACCTTATATTACCTTAATGATATTACAAAGCTTGTAAAACATTTTTTTTTTTAAATAGTTTAACAGACTGTTTTAAGACTAATGACAAAAGAGACGGGATTACGGGAATAGCGAACAAACATAAGGCACAGACAAGGTTTGGTCTCTCACAATTTCTGTAAGAAGAAAAACAAGAGGTCAGTTTGTAATCTGTTTTTTTACAGTTAAAAGTGATGTGTGGAAGTTTTTCAATGTGAAATACTTTTTTTTTTTATTATTATTATTATAGCTTATGCAAAGACAGCTATAAGTATAATGAGTCTCCTGAAAAGTGTAAACACTGACATTGCTCCATTTGTTTGACGAATCCGACACAGCCACACTGATTCAACCAATGGACCTTTTCACAGACTGTGATGATGCTTTTCCCCAGTTATTAACATTGTAAATGTACTGTATAGAGCGCTGTAGTAATGACATATTTTTGTAGGTCAACCCTGAGGTTCGCATCACCCTGGTTCCCTCAACAAAAAGACAATAGGATTTTTCCACTGACTTTTGGATTACTGAAGAAAATAAGCAAATGTTTATGATTCTTTCACATTTTGGTCATTTTACAATTTAACAACTTTTATGAATTTTGAAGACTAAATTACATTTCCAGATGTAAAAAGATAAACATAGGCTTTAAACAAACTACACCATGTTCGCATGGCTCTTGCATGGTCAAGCATGGTCGCCAACTCTTTCAGTCTTTATATAAGAAACATTTCACCTGAAAGTTTGTGTTAGAAAAGTCTGCAAGAGATTATGAACACAACATGTCTGTAAAAGTGGGCTGGTGAGTAGATGAGTTTTCCTGTTTGGCGTGATGACGTTTAATATCTCCCATTTAGTCTCCTGTTAGAAATCACCTTTTTCAAGACAAGCAAAAGACACGTATTACTGAATGCCATAGAATAAGACGTGGAAATATCTTGAACTTGTGTTAACTACAGACCTAATTTCAGGCTTTTAACCAATAAACCATAAAAAAAAAACAAAAAAAAACATTGACTTCTGGAAGATGGACCTGGAAGTGCTAAAATGCTAACTCGTTTCCGTGTTTTGGCCTGCAAAAATAGGTCATCTCGCAGCACTTTATAGAAGTGTATGTTTTCTGCTTCTGAGAACCCCACAAATTTGAAAAAGGGTCCATGGCACGAGTTTGGGTCAATGGGCATTAAAAATTATTTTTGCAATTTTGCAATTCTGCTTGGTGTCACTTACACACTTTAGTCATTCAAAAAGTCTGCTTTCGGTACATATTTCACCTAACTTAGCACTATCCCCTTAAGTCATAAACCCTGAGCGTTCAGTCGTTTCCATCTGTCTGTCTTCCCACCCCTCACTCACTCTGAGTTCCTTTTCAATCCATCATCTTTCATGATCTTCTAAGGCCCAAGGGTGGAAGAGTTCTGAGTCTAGCAGTAGTGTTCCCACACTGAGTAGGACCTGAGAGTACCAGTGTAAGCCGTTCTTAAGGATCCGATCCGGTCCGGTCCAGCTGTACAACAGGCGTAGAGGTGCAAATGCCCAGTGAGCTAGCTGTGGTTCATTCACCGCAGCGTAGCATGAGGTCATCACACCATTCACCACCAAAGTCCCATGGGCAGTAAGTGGGGCGTAAGCCCCCCGGTCCTCCCGCACCTCCACTCGAGAGATCCGTGAAACACGCATCCTGAATTCGCCTTCATTGACGATCAGCAAACACTGCCCTGGCTGGGCATCACTGGCAAATATCGTCCGGAGGAATCCAAGCACTGGCAGGTCCCCGCTGGAGCAGTTTCCAACCCAGATAAACAGTAAATGACCTGCTGTTAAGGAGGCGCTGTCCCCATCCTCAGTGCTGATCACATAAAAGTGCTTCTGAGTAATGGGGCTACGGTCCAGGAAGGTGAGGACCTTGCTGTAGACGAGCTCACCAGACCCATCACTTCCCATTGAGGCCAGAACAAGATCTCCTGTTCGTAGGTCTCGGATTGGTCTACGAGTGCCATCCTCCATTGTCACCAAAGCCCCTCCAGGGAAACAGCCGCCCGTCTTTGCTGCTACTGAGTGCTCTGAAGAAACGTTTGAGGAAGGAATGGAAGAGAGGAATGGGAAGATGGAGAAAGAAAGGAACAGAAAATGTTTCATTAAGGAAATAAAGAATGGATTCCATGCCCAAGCCCCTGTTTCTAATCTTCATTTTTGATTAATATACCTCTAGTCTTTTGACCCTTCATTCATTGGTTGGTCCAATGATGTTTCGCTCAGTGATTGGTTGAGTTGGTAAATAGGATCAGTGTGGTGTCCTCAAAGTGGGACTTTTACTTCTTCATTGGGACGTTGGCGTAGGAGCGCCTCCTAGTGGACTGATTCTAACTTGACTGTCAATCTTGCCTTTTTTTGTACAAATTACAATATATACATAAT